TGCTGTATCTGCATGAGAAAACTATTTAAATGACTGAGCTGAAGTTAGATGAAGGCACATGGTGGCTTTTGCTAATTAAGAATGTAATTGTCATTGTTGATGAATAAATACTTAGTTATTTTAGAGGTACCTGTCAGCAGTTTTCTTAATTGTATATTTACTGTTTTCCTCTATCTTTAAAGATCTGTTGGCACTTGCAAGGTAGTTTTATTTAATATTCTTCCTTATTCCCAAACAGGTTTATTCAGTTTTCTGATAATTAATCTATATAAACACTAGAGAGAGTATTGAAACTGTACTTAATACCTTCCCAAATATTAAATTTTCCTGCTGGATTAAAATGTAGTCCATTGGGAAAACTTAATTCAAAAATCAACACATCCAAATGGCAGAGGTAGAAATTCATATTAGTCTGACACAAAGATAAATCAGAAATCACAAGTTAGTGCCTCTTTTTCATATTTCCAGTTTTGATGACTGCAAGAGCACTTGCTTTCAGCTACCTGACCTCCACTGAGCACTGATCACACCCAACATGCTAAAGTTTCTTCCCATATTGTGGTTGCATTTTCATTGTGCACAGACTTCAGAAACACACAATAACCTGGCACTTACAGTTCCTTTCCTTTGTTTCTCCTCCTTGGATATTGAAGTTTCACTTTCAATAGCTAAATCAGCAGCTATCCATTTACAATGGATAGTAAAACTTTACCAAGTCCCACTTGCTATTTGGGTACTATTGGGATGGGCAGACCAAACTTCACAGGGGAAAACCACATTCCTCTGTTCAACAAACAAGGCACAGTGTCCTCCCAAGAGCTGTATATGCGGAGAAATAACAATTCCTTGTCAGAAACCTGCCCTTCTAAACCAGTCCATAACACTATTAAAAAACTCATTTATACTCTGCAAGCAGAAGTGAAAAAGTAGAGTTCAAAAAAAAGGGACAATTGGCAACCACCTCATAGCATCATGGCTACTATCTGAGAGTCAACTTCAGGTATAAAGAAATCGAAATTGCTCTCTTAATGATGTGAGCTCCTTTTATTCTTAAAAGTTTACTGAGGCATTCAGGATTGTAGATTCAGTTAGCTGTTGGTGGCAAAAGCTACTGAATACAGTAGCTACTAACTGCAAATAGGAAGAGAAAAACCATTTTCATACAAAGGTGAATTAAAGTGAACTGAAAACTGAGTTATGTTTTGATATATTTTCATAACATTTGTTGGGTAAGTACTGACTATAAGCTAACAGCTACACATACTGTAGTTGATAATCCAGTTTCTTCCATAGTAAATCTTTTGCAAGTGGGCTTACAGAGAACAGAGATTATAAATAATTCACGATAAAAATACATTTATGATTATATACGTATGTGCACACATACACTTGAAAATTAGAATATTTAACACTTCTTTATGCATATGCAATCATTTAATTTTATTTTCAATGGTATTCTGTCACTTATTTATATTATGACACCAATAGGGAAACACTACTATTTTGCATTTGCAACATTTTGTTTTTCTTTCTGCTGCTTGGCTTTACTGATGAGAGAATATAGATTAGTTTTTAAATAACTGTAATTTTTCAGATGGCATAGTGGTATACCACAGATCTGAATTTCAAGAGCCACTGTAGTGTTGAGTGAACCATATTTGTTACCTATTAGTAGTGAGGCTATATCAGGCATCAGAAGCTGCACAAGAAAACCTTAAATCCTTTCATGTTGGGTCTCTAGACTAAAACCCTGACCGCAATCTCAACAAATTCTTTCTGTATTAGTGGAAATTAGCTTCATAATATTTTCCTTGTTTCCTTTGGACACTCTTCCTGAATTTGAAGTTATTCTTCTAACTCACATATGTTTGCTTTATGTTTGTTTCTTTCTTTCTGATACTGAGATTCCATCTCACCCTGGTGATCACAAGGGTTTCTTTCTTTTTCCTGGTACTGATTTAGACTAACAGTGAATGGTCATCTGAGGGAGCCAAATGTGGCTAGACTGACATAAATAAATAGGTAGACTTTACTTTCCAGCTGTCTCATTGTTGTCCACATGGTGATAATACTACAACTTTAAAGAAAATGAGGCAAAATAAAAGTAGTAGAAAGATACACTAGAAACCCCAAGAAGAATCAAATGTGACAAATTGCATCTTCACATTAAAAAGAATTAAATTCCAACCACTGAAGTACAGGTGATACCTATTTATCAAGTTGAGTTGTTTTCATGCTGCAAAACACAAACTTAATTACAGAGGCCATTTACATATGGATGGTACTTGTTTAAGCACTATTTTTAACACTGTATGAATAAATAAGATTTAATTTTAACTTTGGGGTTTTTTTTACCCCATGCTTTCAGAAAATAGGCAAACATAATGATGGAAACAATCTCCTGGATGATCAAAATGCAGTCCTTTACCTACTCAGGGAACTATGCTTGTGACATTTTCCATGAACTTAACAATTTGCATCATTAAATTGCTTGAGCTGTTTTTTTTTTTGTCCCCACCACTTGTATTAAAAAACAACTCTAGAACCTCACCACTTTTATGGTCAGAAGTCTTCTAGATCCAGACTAAATTTATTCATGGCCAAATTACACCCATTTGTTCTTGTGCCAACATTGTCTGCTAGAATAAATAGTTCTTTTCCTTGCCTACTGTTTACCACTCTATTGTGTTTCTAGAGAATAATTATTTCCTGTATCAGCTTTTGTTTCTACTAGACTAAACAAGGAAAAACTTTTCAGCCTGGCTCTTAAAATGGCTCCTCTTTGGTAATCTCTACAGTTCTTCAACTGTTTCACCTTTCACAAATGTGATGAAAAAATCTGTGTGAGATCTCTTAGGTGCTTTAAGCAATGGAAGAGATTTTTTCCTTTTCTCTGCTAAGAAATAGTTTAGTTGGTTCATACTTGGATGGTATTTGCTTTTCCATGGTTCCCACTGGTAACTAACAACCTTGCAGTCTGTTAATATGCATACCCTGATCTATCTCCTGTGTTATTTACAACTGATATTCTCCTAGTTTACATCAGATTTTTAATTAATCCTTGAGTGCGTGTCTCCACTGCCAACACTATGCGCTTAAAAGTGATTTTAGTGATATGTATTTTTAATGTGCTTTTTCCAAGGCTGACACGTGTTTTGGAGAAATAGATGCCAAAGACAATAGAAAAATAAAAAGGAATAATGTAAGGAGGTAATCAGCACACTGGCAGCACCAGGTATGATATATTAAGGAAAAGTTTTCACAAGTGCTTCAGTGTAATACAATGGAACATAAAGGTTTGAGTGTGGTACATTGCACATAATACCTTAGGAAATTCTCTTTTGGCCTTGTATACTCACAGCTACTTAAATATTGCATTTCAAAACAATTAGGATTATTACATCAATACTTTTAGAGTGGTTCACAGTAAAAAAGCTTTGCTACTGCCTAGTTGTAAAGGTTCCATTTAAGGGCCATACATTTTGGAATGAAGACCATATAACTCTTACGTTTTAAAAGACATGGACATTCTCACAAGCATGCTGATGATTTTGGACTGTAAGGTCAAATAGCTAGGAATTTGAAAACTTTGAATCTTTAAGAAAATAATTGACATTTCCTCATTTTGATGTGGAAGTCAGTAATTTATAAAATAACTTCAGCTGTACAAGTATAGATAGCAGAAGACTAGTGAATTCCCACACTCAGTATCTTTGCCCTTTAGTCAAAAGATAAACTAGATTTTTGAAGGATTTTTTTAGGGGGAGAAAGATTATTTAAAAATCATGTGATAGATATTTTTTTTTTATTTTGCATAAGGGTGCTGGATTTTGAAAATGTATTCATAAGAGTTATCTGCAAGGGCATGCAGCTTTAAAAAACTCTTGAAAAATCTTTTTTGTCAGTTTTAAATTTGATGGGAATCTGCTTATTGGGAAGGGAGTCTGTATCTGCTCAGGATTATTTTATTAAGTTATTAAAAGGTAGTTTTACTTAATGTGCCCTCCTTGGCTATTGCTATATAATACCTTCTTTGATGTTGAAATGGTAAAGTGAACATATTAGCTTTTTTTTTTTTATTAGCAGTAATGTTTAATATGTTGTATTTTGTTTAGGGCATCCCTGTGGTGCTGATAGCTGTGCGTGAACGACTGGTATATAAAGACGGCAAGCTTTGAACGTCTTTCAGTGGTAATATAATGACTTTCACCAAAGGAGGAAGAAGTCTTGATATATTTTTATCCTGTTAACCTGAGTTTGGAAGGTGTTGATTTCATAAATCACAAGGTCTGTCAGCAATTTTGTTGATGACATCAAGCTGTGTGGCGCAGTCAACATGCTGGAGGGAAGGGATGCCATCCAGAGGGACCTTGACAGGCCTGAGAAGTGGGCCCATGAGAACCTCAAGAAGTTCAACAAGGCCAAGTGCAGCGTTCTGTAGTCCTGCACCTGGACTGGGGCAATCCGAAGCATAAATACAGGCTGGACAGAGAATGGATTGAGAGCAGCTCTGACAAGAAGGATTTGGGGGTTGTGGTGGATGAGAGGCTAGACATGAGCCAGCAATGTGCACTTGCAGCACAGAAAGCCAAGTGTATCCTAGGCCACATCTAAAATAGCATGGACAGCAGGTTGAGGAAGGTGATTCTGACCCTCTACTCTGCTCTGATGAGACTCCACCTGGAGTACTGCATCCAGGTCTGGGGTCCTTGGCACAGAAAAGACCTGTTGGAGTGAGTTCAGAGGAGGACCACCAAGATGATTAGAAGGATGGATCACCTCTCCTGTGAGGAAAGGCAGAGGGAGTTGGGATTGTTCAGCCTGGAAAAGAGAAGGCTTCTGGGTGAACTAACAATGGCCTTCCACTACATGAAGGGAGCCTACAAGAAAGATGGGACAGAGACTATTTACAAGAGCAGGTAGCGACAGAACAAGGGGGAATTACTTGAAACTGAGTGAAAGTAGGCTTATATTAGGTATTAGGAAGATATTCTTTCCTGTGAGGGTAGTGAGGCACTGGAACAGGTTGTCCAGAGAAGCTGTGGATGCCCCATCCCTGTAAGACTTCAAGGCGAGGTTGAATGAGTCTTCGAGCAATTTGGTCTAGTAAAAGGTGCCTCTGCCCATGGCAGGGGGGTTAGAACTAGATGATCTTCAAGGACCCTTCCAAACGAAAGCATTGTATGATTCTATGATGTGATTAAGCAAATCTATCATATGCAAGTAGTGGCTTCAAAAAGTAAATTAATTACTATGTCTGTCAGAAGACTTTATTTTTCTTTACTCATAACTCACTATATTTTTAGAAATACTTGAGATGTGTCCAGGCATCAGAAACTTGCAGCTATTCACTGCAGCAGGTTGCAACCAAATGATCATTTTAAAGCAGTTCTTTTCCTTAATATGCCTCTTTCTTTTTACTAGTTGTAGTTAGTATTTGTCAAATTAGGACAAAGGTTTGTCATTAGTCTTTTTTCTTTAGACAATGATACACTTACTCTGTTGATAAGGGAAAGGGATTTGAAAAGTGCCTGACAAAGAGAAACGTCACAGAAAGTAAAACATGTAGTATATGGTAATATTATCCTACTGATTTTAATCTGATAGAGGTGTTGGGCTAATTAAGAAAGAATTAAACTACACATGACAGATACTGGTCACATTGTTTAATATACTGCTGGAGAATACACAGAACCATAGGGGCGATGAAAACATTACAAGAGCATACACAGAAAATACAATTGCTGCATGCAAGTATAGTGGGTTTTGCAAGTAAACATAGGATATTCTTTTGACAAGTGTAATTTTGTCATTAATACAGATTCTATATAGAAAAATATTTGTTAAGTGATTTTAAATGGTTTGGGGGTGGGGGGGACAGTGAAGAGCAGGGAATAACCCTTTGGCAGTTATTTACATGGGAAATGTTTGTATTATTCTCTTAATTTAAAATAATAGTTTTTCCTCTTCTGCAGTACCTTCAGGTGCCATTTTAAAATTAAAATAAATTATATTTCTCCAAGATGGAAAAATTTATGTTTCTCTGAGAAGTTGGCCTCATCAATAAGTTCATAGAAAACACTGTTTGGCACCTACATGGAGAAGCATCCAGAAAATATTATCTGTGTGAAACAGAGGGTTTTCTCCTCAGTAATTTTCTCTCTTTTTCTTGTATTGGTTTCGTTTCCATTAGATGTCTTGGAGCTCTGATTCAGAGCAAAATAGATTTACTGTTTCCTGAAAGAAGATTTATTAGCTTGGAGACGGTATGGTAAGATCAGTGAGATAATCTGTTTTAAGAGAAGAGGGTTAAGGTGGATATACAAGAGAAGGGTATGATAATTTTCAGTTTCATATTCTAAAGAGTGCCATGTTGATTCCAGAGCAAAAGTGGAAAAAAATCCACTCTGGGAATTAGGGGCTGTGCATCAGCATGGATGCTGCTGTGCATACCAGCTAATGCAGGCACAGGGCAGCTGATGGGACAGACAGACCCTTGTGCCTTGCTCCTGCACTGACTTCTGCTTCCCCTTCAGTTTGAGACGAGGGTCATTTAAAATAATACCGTCTACGACATAAGACCTTTGGCAACTTGTTCCTTCTTCAAAGTAGTTTAGTATTGAGGCAACTCTATAGCTGGGGAGGAATTTTCTGTCTTTCACGTAACTCCTTAAAATCAGGTGTTCCAGGGCATATCTTATGTACATTTACTAGAGCGTTGTATGCAATTCATTGTTGTGGTTTAGGAGAAGGCAGTATGTGTATTGTGCACAGCACATGTAAGTGACTATTGAAATGATACTGCAAGTCACAAATATACTCCCGATTTCATTACCCACACATTTCCCACTTCTTCACACACAGAACTATAATAAGCAGGGCTGGTTTAGGAGACTCTTTGGGATTTTAGCACAGCAAGTGGTCCCTAGTGGAGCTGGGAAGTGAAGGAAACTGTACCAGCTGGGAGCCAAATAGCAGTAATGCAGAACCTATGGGGAGATGATGCAGCTCATGAAGGGTTATAATACCATAGGTTACTGTAATTATTAAAGAAACAGGAAACACATAATAAACTCCCCCCTTATAAGCACTTCATATAAGAGAGATGCAAAATGGTAGAGTTGAAAGGGAGATAAGACTGTTCACAATCTGCACTCAAGCTGGATGTGGGTTACTCCCTTTCAGGTGTGTGGTCTAAGCTTCAGGTGATGGGAGTGGTTCTATGTTTTTTGAAGTTTTATTTTTTTTTCTTTTTTCATCTTCCTCCCGGCATATCGCTCTGCTTTCCCATGAGTGGTGTCACTAGCAAGAAAATAACCAGATGTCTCAGCCGGGCTGTTTCCATTTTTCTACCACAGTATATACTTACCCTCAGTCACCACGCTTGCTTTCTGCAGGTTTTCCTCTCTGCCTGAGCCTCACCTGAATAGTCTGTTCATTTTAAAAACACCATCAAAAACAAGAGAGAAGAAAAAACTTACCCTCACAAATCTCTTGCAAGTTCACCTCCAAATTTGAATCTGGTCTTTCTTTTTTTCAATCCTGTGACTTTATTTTCAAATTTGTTGAGCCTTTGCAGGCTTTGTGTCGCTTGCAGAGTCCTCGAAAGTGGATTACTATAAATTAAGAATAGACTCTTAGGGCTTTGAGAGTGACCATCCAGATTGAAAGTCCTTTTAACAAACTTACTCAGTTTAATGATAAAAAAATAATTTTCCAAACCACTCGGCCTTTAATAACAAAACACAAAAAAAATGAGGTACCCTGACAAAATGAAAGTAGCAAATCAACTTAGTATTGAAAAGTATAAAATGTTAATGGAAAGGGTACTTTTTAAGTAATATGTATGAGTGTTATACACATGAATATTGCATATATATTCCCTTAAAATAATCTAGTAAGGAAATAAAATATCCATTTGCATTTTTCTTTTGCGCATAGGTTTATTAAGATAATATATGTATCTTTTTATATGCTGAGCCATTGCTTTGTCTCTGTCTCAGCCTGTCCGAGGTGTATGAATATTGACTAATGTACAACCCATGGTGTATTATTGCTTACTTGAAGCATGACCTTGTTTTTTTTCTTAATTATATTTTTCCTTTGTAGGAAAGCAAGTTTACTCATTCTGAATCGTGCCAAACCGCATAATTTGGAAAGGAATATTGTGGCTCTACTTGGAAAGTACTAATTGGGCTTCAGCCATCACTGGGAAAGCTGTATAGTCTTTTATTATTTTAACTGGCCAAATGCCCTTTGTTACCACATTAACAGTCTCCCTATGGTGCCTGTAACTTTGATATTATTTTCACTTTCATGCTAAATTTGACCAGATGAAAGACAAAAACACTCCAATTTTGAAATAAAAAAATAGCATGTTTTGTTAATCCTGTATTTCAGAGGGAAAGTCTGTGAAAATGATAACCTTTGTGTGTTGGCCAAAGCTTTTTTCAGTAAACCCATCCTGCCAGCTGTTCCCATTGGCAAGAGGAAAGATAATATTTTGGTATCTTTTATTTCTCCATTTTAGAGCACAAGTTTTGCTTGTGCCATTGTTTAAATCATGCATGTTAACATTGGTCTGGCAAACAATAACGCACTTTATAAAAAGACCTCAGTTTGAATGGTATCACTGCAATGTTGCAATAAAGCTGATTTTGACTATTACATACAGCTTAAGTCACTTACTGCCTGTGGACTATTGCAGGTGCACTGGACTGTGCCGCTGAAGAAGTGCTTTCAAAGGCCTAAGGAAGACACTTGAACTAGATATATAATGGCACATTTTAATGCGATACCACCAGGAGCTAAAGATGCATAATACCTCAAAAAACTGGGCTCTCACCTATGTGCTTTTGGTCCTCATCTCACAAGGCAGATTCGACAAGGATCAGCTTGGAACTTAGGTCCAGTCCCTAGCAAACAAGCAGAGACACCCAGACAGGAACACCGGCATTTCTAAGAGACAAAAAGTGGTCACCTAAAGCATTAGGCTGAGACAGATACACTTGCTACTCTGAGAATACCTGAATGAGCACATGCACAGGGAATGTTCTCTCTCCAGATCCATCTTTGATTTCAAGTTTTAATTTCTGCTTACTTAAATGGTGTTCTCATAATGTTTGAGAACATCTTTCTTAGTTTACAGGTAACTTGAAGCCTGAGTGGTTACAGGCATATTGGATCTCACACCTTGGCAGAGGATTATTTCTGCTTATGTTCTGAGACAGCTCAGCACTAAAGATGTCCAAGGGGGGGGGAAAATCCTGATCCTGTAACAGTTCATTTGGATCCCTTGAAGGTTTCAAGGATTTCTTAAAGTCCTCAATGAGCATGACAAGCAAATTGATTGGGATAAAAGTAGGTCTCAAGTCTTTGCCTGTCTAGACATAAAGCCTCTTTCACTAAAATGGAGCATGAGGGAAGACGAGAGTCTCTTAAAACAAGAATTCCATTCATTTGTGCATTACTGTAATTATACTACTGTCTTAAATGCTATGAGATTGATGGTGCTTTGTGACATTCCCAGAATGTTTCAAAAGGGGGACAGTACAACCTTGCACTGTCTGAAAAAGAACTGAGCCCTCCCATCTATGAAAGCTGTCTTAGGCAACTCAGTGAATGTTGTAATGGCTCCTTCATAGCCTTTTACTTGTATTTGATAGTGTAAGACACATTCCAAGGAAAATAAGGATAGTTCCTGTATCTTGCTTGATTACTTATTGCTATTGTAACAGCTTGGTGCATTTTGTTAGCAAGGCCTAGCCCAACAACAACACTAATGATAACGTAATTATACCAGGGACAAAAGTTGTCATTTAAATACATTTCCTCTGATATCTGCACTATGCGAATTTAGAAAAAAAGTACTTTTTCAAGTTTTAATTTCCTCCAGAAGCATATAATCATTCAGTGCCTTTTCCTCTCCTTCAGGTTAGCTCTCATCACCACAGATACAGCTACAAGTACTTATCTGATGTTTTCTTTCCTGCTGAACTGCCAGAGTCTTTCAGGGTACATTTCAGGTAAGGTAAATCCATCAATCAAGTTCAGAAGCACTAGGGAAAAATGTTTTAAAATTACAAATACATTTTGGTAGCACTCTCACACATTACTTCCCCAAATTTGGCTTTTTGCAGTTAGCATGCCTTATGCAACAGCCTGCCCGGTCCCCATATGCCTCTGTGTTATTATTAATGCATACTGCAGTTTCACAAAGGTGTTCTGGATGGAACTTGTCCCAGAGAGCTTGGTCAGAGGGAAACTGTAAACCCCAGCCTCTCTGGAAGGCCAGAATTCCTATGCTCCTGTTCCAAAACACTGCAGTGGCTGGCCCAGCACTCCAGGGAACAGCACAAACAGGACAGCTGCTCGGGCATCACCAGGCAATGCGCCAGGCTCTGCCTTGCAGGTTAAGTTACTGACACTTGCCAGCTGCTCTTTGTGAGGGAGAACTCAAACACCTTCCTCTTACCTTACAAACACAGATATTGTAAATCATGCAATTATACCAATAAGTAGAGGTAGCGCATTGAGAGAAAAAGCAACATCTTCCATTTTTAAGTTTTGTTCAGAACAACTTCAAAATCATATACTGTCACATCATCTCAAATGAAGGGAAAAATAATTGGGGAAAAAAACCATCCACAGCCATGGTATTTGAAGTAGGCCGTGAAAGCCATCTGACCTGTCCTTTGAGTCTTTCAGTATCAAAGAGCTATGTTAACAATAACTGTAATGAAATTAGATTTATTATGCATGCATGAGCAATAAAAAAATTCCAAGAAATCTACTATGGTAGTAATCAAGGTTAAGAAAAAGAAAACCTCCCTTTCCTGCAGGCCTTTATTCGAAGGGGGTTTCCTAGAATCTACACAACACAGCAACGAAGTGAGGCCACGAAGCTGTAGGACCTGCAGCTTTTGTTTTCATGGATAGTTTTCAGTACAGGACTCAGTCCCCTCTGTGTTGGGTCTGAAGAAACCCAAAGCTTCTCGGAATGTAAGCTAGGAAGGGAGGAGTCTTTTTCTGGTACCAGTACCTATGAATGAACATTGTAAAGCCCGGTTGTCAACTCCCTCTTTAGTGAAATGTTGGTAGATTTATTCACAGTTAAACCCAAACGTTTTTGAAAGTGATTGTCTTCATAAAATTATCTCAGCCAGCAGCAAAGACAGGATTGAGCTGCTGTCCAGTGACTTTCTGTCTCACCTGCAGAGGTTCTTCCACCTGATAACCTTCAGTGACAGGATGCTCTCATGAGATTCATAATTTGCTTCAGTGTAACCAGACCTCAGACCCATGGCAATTTTGCAGTCCCCCTAAGAAGTTCATCTTTTAATTACCATTCTCAGTTTATCCCAGAATTTGAAACTTCTGTATGAATTCCTCAGCCATATTTAGTAATCTTGTTAATCTCAACCCCTCTATTTCTGTCTCTTACAACTTGTGCTAGCAAAAATTCTCGCAGTGCTCTTTTCCAACAAGGACAGAAACCTTCTGTTCTCTTTTTCCCATACACTGAAGAAAATATCCCTGACTGTACATGTTTCTTCTACATTTCTTCACAGTGAAATCCCTGAGACTTAAATAACTCACTTCCAGTTGTCCACCTAAATTTTCCTTCACTATAATTTCCAGGTCAAATAACTGCATCAAGGAATTTAAACTTTATAATTCATAGGAAATGCTTGGCTTTGAAATAAAATAAGTTTGGGGTTTTTTTTATTTTCAACGACTGAAGCAGAATTGTATTCATTTAGCTGATATCATAACTTGAAGTTAACCAGTAATTTTTTTCAGGACATACATCCAGAGAAAATTTCCCTGTTGTAATACAATTCCCTAATGAACCATAGTTAACATACTAGTTGCTTTCAGTATAACCTTGAAAAAAATACGAAAGGTAATTCATGGTTATATGAAAGAGTATGTAAACATGCAAATGTTTTCTGTTGTTGTAGGTTCTAAGGAATAACTTCTGTAAGCAGTTATCTATAGTACATCTAAATTAAATAGCCCTGTTAGAAGGAAAACATTTTGTATTCATTTAGTCATTAAACTAGAATCAAGAACAGTTGCTAAAATAATGGATCCCGATTATTCATTACTATTAGGCTTGACTTGTAGGAATAGATACCTGATAGGAATTGTACCAGAACTATAGCTGCTAATGAATAATTAAAGGCCAGGGAGCAGATGCAAAGGGGAAGTAGAACAACAATATCTAATTTCTTTTTTTTTCTGGGAACACTTTTGTGGCTCTTCTACCTTCTCTTCCACTGAGTTTTGTTTTCATATCTCTACAGTATAATGGACTGAATTTTTTCTCATTTTATGGAAAACTCTCTTTCTTAAACTGTGACAAAAAACTTTACAAATTTTATGAACTAAGAGTAATAACAATATAAAAAAGTCTATAGAAATATTTTATTTAGGTGATTTTTAAAGCATTTCAACTGTAGTTATGTCTTATAACTAAAATCCATTTTACAGAAAACCAAAATCTTCAATTTGAAGTGTCGAAATCCTGTTTCATAAAGCCTAATTTTTCAGGGCTTGAAATCTGATTTGACCTATTTCTGACAACGTTTTGGCTTAGACAACTAGCAGCATTTTTGTATGAAACCCATTTTTTCAGAAACCTCCAAGCTAACTTTGCTGTCCGTGATAGTCTGTACAAGTATCACAGGAAACTTCTGGTATACACAATGGCTTAAACAGCTAGAACAGGAATAACATACAGACACGTATCTAACTGATTCCCAGCTGACTAGGAAATCTGTGCCCCATATGCTGTTTAAAAAGGGAGGTCTTAAAATTTAATTAGACAGGAGAAAGAAACCGAGCTTGTTTGGTTTGGATTCTTTTAAATCATCACTCAACTTTTTTTTCTTTCACTTTATATACCTATTCAAATCCCATATATTCATCTCATCCACAAATTGCTCCTGCTTACAAGGTTTGTCATGTACTACCTAAATTGGCTGAGAATTTTGCTTTATTGGCATCCCAAGAATTCAAGTCACAGAGAAACCAACTTGACAACACAGGAGATGAGTAAACACATTATGGACACACATGCTTACCTGCATGGGAAATTAGCATGCAGTCTTTTATACCACAAATGAATACTCCACCGAATCAGTGTCTTTCAGTCATATCTGTCTGCAGACTCCTAGTTTGCTTTTTCTTCCCAGTGTAGGGTACATCTTTATGTAGCAAGTTGAAGCTCCTTGACTCTTCATAGGTAAATTTCCACAGACCTCTTACAAAAGCTCACAGACCTCCAGGATCAATGGTGAAAGCAACACCAGGACCAGTGCTACAGATTTGTTCCCACACAGAAACTCTTTACTGTGCACAAAGGCTGTGAAGTACCTTTACACTGTTTTCAAAAAAACCCCATCTGTTTCTAGTTCAGCTTCTTTCTAATTACAAACATAGACCTATGTTTCCGAGAGACTGGTCCAAGAGACAATGGGAAATCTATAGATTATTATAAGAAAGCTTATCTGGTGCCACAGTCCTGTGTTTTCTGGTTCCAATTACAAGAATTTTATCCAACAACTTTGAGAAAAATTTTTCCTGCTCAGTTAAGAATTGTGCTGATGGTACAAAATGGAAATGTTGCTACATTTCTCGGGCATAATGAAGTGCTCATGGCA